TATTTATGGTTTTTATACAATTCCTAAGTATTTCTCCATTTCCCATTGGTCCGCTGCCGCCCAAGCTGCGATCCTGCATTCCCGCCACAACACAACTGCTTTCGATGTGCCAGTGGCGCGATGACCGTGATTATTAAGCGCAGTTGCCCTATAATTCAAAGGTGCGTGGGCGGGTGCTGGATTTGGTGAAAAATCGTAGTACCTACAAGGCTGGATTTCATCGGAATATTATATAATAGAACAATAACTACGGTCTTCAATAATAATAATCGTTGCAGATGCTTTAGCAGTCCAGAGGTGGTTAGTCATTCAATAAATGGATTGCCCGATGAAATATTTCACCTCGTCACACCACTGCAGACTATGAGCTGTATACGTATTTTTAAATTTTTATTAACACGTATATGCCCTTTAGGTATATAGGCTGTTCGCGCTCGAACAATATTATTATTATTATTTACTGTGCTTATGGTTTTTTTTATTATTATGTTGGCGGCAGTGTACGTGTCAGCAACGTCTGGTCGGGCACCGCTGTCCAGAATACGGCTTACGTCCAAGTCGTCGGTTAACTTTATATAAATGTTTTTTTTTTTATGGCAACTGCCGAGCAGTCATCAGCTCTAAAATCTTTTTTCCTTTGCCTTTGTCGCAGCCGAGTCTGGTCAAAGCGCATGTTTTTCTCGTTCTTGTCGCAGCCGAGTCTGGTCAATTAATCAAATTTGTATTCATTATTAAAGCGTTAAGTGGTCAAATCGAAGACCAATGTGAAGCACGTTGCATTTTTTATTATTATTATATTTCATTTTTTGGTCGCAGTCACTGAAGATTCTGGTAATATTGTTCCACATTATTCTTCACTATATTCGTATTATATCATTTTCCTTCTAATTAGGTAGGACATTGTTTTTCTTGTATTGGCGGTGCCTTACTGCAAAGAGTGCATCAGTCGGAATTTGAGTCATTTATTGGGTTTGCTCTTGTCATTGTGTGGCTAGCGGTGTTGAAGCACATGTGCGGGATCACACCTGTTAATTTTTCTTATTTGTATAATCGTTTAACTACAGATCCCGGCATTGCTCAACCCATAATCATACCTGGGTAAGTGGTGCACCACTATTATTATTATTATTTATCATATATACTATATTCATGTATCATTTGTATTATATAACAGTTGCATCTATTAGATTTTGTATTATTGTAGCAAAGAGCACTTGTCTTGTAAAATTTTGTAATTAGTGCCTACTACTATTGACAAAAAATTATCGTTACCCTATATTATTATTATTCTAATTGTGAACATATTTATTGTTATTGTCATTATATTATACTAGTCAGCAACATATTATTATTCTCTTTTTATTTATTTTGAATCAACAAAAAATTACAGTCCACTTATTAATTACTTACACACAGTTAGGAAACAGGCAAGTCTACTAATATTGTAGGCACCTGCTTTAATAACATAGGCTAATGGATTCCCATTAACAGAATCACACGGTAAAAATGTAGTTTATAGTTGCCCCTCGCCAATTTGAAATTTCGGTCAAAGAATAAGTATCTCGTCGAGTTAAGAACGACGGTGTACAATCAGAATTTGTCGCTTGGACTTCGCTTCCAAGTTATAACCTGATGAAGACTAAGGATTTTACGCATGCACACAGCGCGATGTTATACTACGCCTTTTACTTCTTTTTTTCTTAACGTAACGATTTCTACGCCGAATTTGGTGGAGCGTTCAGATTTTGGCCACCGTACTTAATTTTGATAGTGTAACGCATCAAAATTGAAAAATGTACCTTTTTTTTGTGTAATAAGTATGTGAATAAAAATAATAACATCTGAAAGATCTGTAGGACGAGTTTTCTGACAGGACTCGATATGGGCGTAGTGTTTGACCGTATTATTATACTTGTGAAACTATGGGTTATTTTACCTTCTTTTCGCAATAACATCGAAACGAAGTCCGAGTGACAAATTCTAATTGCACCACCGTTCGTAACTCACGAATTACACAAGTTTCTATAAAAAAATTTAAAATAGAGGGCCGAGGGGACACTAAACTGCATTCGTTACCCTACATTATACACATAGCGTGACTGCGTGAGCACGGGGGTGGCCGAGTGGGCCATGGGCCATTTGCAAACCCTGCACCGCTGGGTTGGCAAGGTATCGGCCCACAGAATTTTAGGATTTTCATAACCGACCCTAAAAAGTAAACCACCCATTTTTTTTTACTCATTTTATGGTAGCGATATTGTATGGTATCTGCGCTTAAATCATGTCTACGTGACGTGAGTGGATGGTGTTCCTAGCTCAATGCAAAGTGGTTCGGTCTCTTTTTAGAACGATAAACAATTAATAATTCTAATACATTTTCACGACTATAAAATATAATCTTTTCTTGGGATACCCTAGGGTGATACCTTATTTCGGACGCCCTCAGAACATTAAATAAGGGTTTTTTTTTTTATTAGCTGCTGGTATAAAACCATTTTAGCTCAACAATTACTATCTTTAAATAAGGGTTAATTTGGGAAGTACTCGGGAAACTCCACATTATATAACATCAAGGTCCTGTTGTTCAGGATTTTGATTTTATATTATGACGGGCAGTCATTCATGCTTATTTCTACGATAAACTACAAGAGAATTATTTAAACAGTAATATCTCGCTTTTATAGGATTATTTTATAGTAAAAATACAGATTTTGCCTGGATTTAGGATTACACAATTACCTTGCAATCGTACAAATATTTACCACTTTAGTTTTAGATTGGTTTTTTTTTCGAAATAATTTGTCATATACTTCTAACCTAAGTAAGATTCACTTAATATATTTGATCAGTTATTCAAAAATAAGGTTATTTTTAAATATTTAACGATTTTTGGTTATAATTATATAATTTATATGTTACTACAATAAAAATAAATAATAAATGCATTCTAAAATGCAATAATTTTTTTTTTTTTGTATACTTGGTCTGTTATATATGTGTAAAGATTAGCAAACTTATAGGGCTATATCTTTAATAGTGGTTAAAAATATTATGTTGTTGAAATGTTCTTTAAAAATTAAAACAAGACAAAGTTTTCTATGCAAATATGTTGTATTATCATTTTAAACAAGTTTACTGTAGCCAATACCAACTCCAGTTACTAAGATTTTTGAATCACAGCCTTGGCGTAAGTCTTCATTTTTAGAATCAATATATGGTTCCAATTTAAATGATATCCCAAAAAATTCTTTCAAATGCCTTAGAAATTGAATGCTGAAATATTTATATAAAATTAATCAAATTTGTTATGTTAGATAGGTAAAAATTATGTTATTGTAAAAATAACTACTTACGTATAGGGTGATAATGGTCCTAATACAACATGAGATACATCTTTTTGTCTAAGAGCCATGTAAAGAAGTACAATAGATTGGAAAGAAGAATCTATACAACCTCCACGCCAAATCTCTTCAAGCATAGCTGATGCTACATTTTCTGCTACCTCTTCTGCTGTTGTCCTTTGACCAGTAAATGGAAGTGAAACACTATCAGCAGTTAATATTATTCCATTAGTTGTTGACGCAACAATATTTGCACCAAAACCTGGAGATTTTCCACATAGTTTTCCTTTTGGGTGATCCACCGTAAAATAAACATCAGGAATAAATTTAAGCATCACTGATTTTGCTTTTTCAACCATGCGGTTCGAAATTGATGGCGATACCCTCAATGAAAAAAATGTTCCTCTTATTTTTTTTATTTTACCAAAATCTGTTAACTATGCATTAAAAATAAGTTGTTGATATAAATGAGATAAATTATAGTCATACTTGTAATGCTTTAGTATATTTCACAGGTTCACATGAAAAATATATTTCGCCTCCACCATCTGGTTCCATACCACGTTTTTTAATTTCCATGTTGGCATCAGTAGCTAATAACAATATCCTTTGTAGAATTGGTAGGGCACCAGCTTTAAAAGCATCAACTGATGGATCTTTCTTTAAAAAAAAAACAAATAAGTATTTTTATTTTCGATAATAAAATGTATAAACTGCTTTTATAATTTACTTGATTATTAGTAACTCCTTTAAGTGTGGCTTGTATTCCTTTTTTACAATAGGGTGCAACCATAATAATTAATTCCAAGTAATACCCTATGCCTCGTAATTTACAACAATCATGGTCTATTGCACCACCAATTAGTAAACCAGGTTGAAAATATAGGTCTGTACCAGTCTCATTGACATCTAAATTAGTTCCATTTGTTAATTTGTCAACTAAGCGTAGAAAATTTACTTCAAACTCTAAAATTGTAAAGGCAATTATTAATTTAGAATATTTTATGTTTGAAAATGTATTTTTTACCTTGGAGTCCAGGTTCATTTTCTTGTGATCGAATATTTCGTATTTTAACTGGTTTACCACTAAGGAGTGATAATATTATTCTTGTACGAAAATTACTGCAGCCTTCAAAAATCATAATTTCTTTTTAATTGACAAATGTAGGTACTCTAAGACTATAAAAAAAAGTTTTGTCATATGCATTGACTTTGGTGTGATTATAATACAAAAAACATACAAGTTTAACGACAGAAGGTATTACATATGAGACTTAATTGCGAAAATAAAATACACATTCATAACCACGATTTAAGAATCAAGTCTTTTAAAGATTTAATCGTCTATTTAATCGTGTTTATATTTTATAACTCGTGCTTTTTGATAAAAAATTAAAATTGATAAAAATCAGACTAGCCAACATGATGTGTGGTACACATGGACTTTTTACCACTTTTTACCACGAATTAAGATATCGTGGGCTATACCCATACCTCTAACAATAGCATTACAGCATCTCGCATTGATGTAGATTGTAGGCTATCTTTACGAAAGAATACAATAATCTATATATATTTTAATATTTGTATATATATATATATATATATTATATACTAGCTGATCCCGTGCACTTTGTTGCCTGTTAAAAATGCCAACTTTTTTTTTTTAAGCTTAAAATCGAGAACCGGAGGAGGAACCATGTTGCCACTTGCCAATACTTCTCCTCCGGCCACCATCGTTTATTGATCAATGATCAATTATCAAATTCACGAAGGGATTAGAAGTTGGGCTAATCTCCCACTCACTAACTATTACATTAACAATATTAAACAACATTAGTTGTACCTACATTGTGCTCTTCTGCGGCCTGCCGAGCTCTTTCTTCCTCCTCCTGCTTGGCCGACAGGATATCCTCCACCATTTTGTAGAATAACCTGAATACCTCCTCAGCCTCTCTCAGCAGCATCGACTTTTCTTCGGGATCCGCCGGGAACATCTCGAACGCTGGTCCGCAGATGATGTCCGGGAGATCAGCGACACTCGGTCGACGGCCCAGCCGTGCGCTGAGGTGTACACGGAACCCCTCCCAGTAAACACACTCGAACAATGTGTGTTCGGCGGTATCAGAGTCACCAGAGCACTGCCAACAACGTGAGCTGGCGGCCCTAGCCATCCGATGTAGGTAAAACTGGAAGCAGCCATGGCCCGAAAGGGCATGTGTCATATGGAATGATAGGGGCACCCACGGGACGGTTCTTCCCAGCCATCTTCCAATGTCAGGAATGACAGGAATTGCGCGACGTGTCCAAGATGCCTTCTTGGTAGCAAGCCATCTCACCTGCCACAGAGCAATTGTTGCTTTCCTCCCTTCTTGTTTCACTGCCGCTTTCGATGGCCGCAGTTGTCCGGGCTCCGTTGCGGCACGCAGCCGGGACCTTATCCTGCATCTTTCGAGTCCAGTGAGATCAGCGGGCGACGTGCAGGCCAAAACCAGTGCGGCCTCGTCCGAGACGGTACGGTAGGACCGGATCACCCTCGGGACGGCGGTCCTCTGCGGCCGGATGAGGCTCGTCCTGGTTCTGGCGACATTGGTGATGGCGTGAATCCACACAGGAGCGGTGTAAAGCTGCAATCGACTGCCCACGACTGAGCCAAGCAGCTTTCTTTTAAATTGGACTGGACCTCCAATATTCGGCATAAAGCTGGCAAGCGATGCAGCTGAATGGGCAGCCTTTTTGGCGACGGTGTTTGCGTGGGGTGCGAATGTCAGACGTTTGTCGAGAATGACCCCGAGGTATCTGATCTCGTTGCGCAGAGGAAGTAAGTTAAAAATGCCAACTCTATATTATGAAACTCGATGGTGATAATGCGAGCAGTATATTATGTCTACCTGCTGAGGATTGAGGAATGAGGACCCCTCTTGATCATTACTTTATATAAATAATAAATAATATGTTTTAAATGATTGTGGACACGCCGGTCGCCGATGAGCGGCTATAAGTGCACATCTATAGGTACAATTCAATTGTGTGCATATTGCATGCTCATACCTGATCTGCTCACCTAGGTGACTAACTTGAACTGATGATTGACTTGCTAAATACCTACTCAACCACGGTTTTCGACTTGACACTTTTTACATACGAGAATGGCGCAAAGACCTACTTATTAAGTAAAAAAATAAATAAAAACAGTAATAAAAAAATTAAGTCATAGGTATTACTATTTGCTATTGGGTAGTTTCTTAAAATCAAATAATTTATGTGCAAAGCCAATATACTCTTACCAGCATCACATATAATTCTCATGGCAAAAACATTTTTACAAATTACAATTGTATATTTTCAAAATAAATGTTAAAATTTAAAAAGAACATACTGAAAAGTGAAAAGTACCGGACATGGGACGGCACGTCACAACACTTTTCGCTGCAGGTGGATTGATCATTTTTTTTTCCTAAAACAAAACAATATGTATTTTATCGCATCGTATTGCGACGGCCGACGGAACAGCATTATCAGAATAAAAATTGTCGGACTCGGCGAATTTACGTGTCCTGCTGGCTTTACATTTTACGACTTGGATGTAGATAATTATTAATTATTATTCACTCATGATAAACCAGAAAAATGTACTAAAGACAACGGTGTAGAGAAATAGCCTAACTATAACGCCGTAAGGTCATCATTTTCAGGTTTCAGTTTTTCACTAATTTGTCAAGAACACGAACGTTTGTAAATTATTTTGTGGTTAAGAACTAACTAAATTATAAATATAAATAATTAAAGTTTGACAAATTAATACTTGAATTTCATAAATCGTTCTTTTTTGAAATAAGAAAAAACCCTAACCCTGATCCGCCTCTGTACTCAACCATACCCAATACCTACACTTATTATATATTTTCACAAAAATGTAAACAGGTAATGTACCTAATTAAGTATATTAGTTCTATTTTAAAATATGAAATATGGCAAATACTAATTAGTAACTGTACAAATGCATGATACTTAATAATCACACAAAATATCATTAAAACAATTATCTAATGGCTAATGAATAGAATACAACAAATCAACATCAATAATTTTCGTTAGTTTTAAATTAAGTAATGCTGTTAAATAAAGTTGACCTAAAATTAGGTTACATAATTTGCCGTTTTGACAACACTGATTGTGCTGGAAACTTCATGTATAACGTGATTATGGACAACAAAAATATCAGTCCCGGGAAACTCACCATTTAAAATTAATAGGTGCCGTTCTTATAACATCCCGTTAACGGACACTTAATCGGCGGAATTTTGCCCGTAATAAACTGTTTACTGTTATCAGCCAGTTAGCGTTAACCAACATTTAACCAGACTCTGTAAGGACCAGCCAAAGAGTATTAATTACGCTGTAATAACAATATTTATAAACATACAGATGTAAATAATAGCCTACTAATATGGCATACCATTGGTTATGGAACGGGCTATTGTACAATAATATTCGATAATCAATAGGGATTTTGTAATACCTAGGTAATTATGTATGTACCTACTATCTAACTGTTATAGTAATAGTAATATAGTATTAATTAACCTGCCTAAATATTTTTACATACTCAACCACCCAAAATTTGAACCACCTTAAGTACATACTCCATGCCACTATAAATAGAAACATGTCAAATATACATTGTCATGTAATCACATTTTAATAAGGAAATTAATAGTTTCTCCTAATAAGGATATTCTAGAATACAAAAAATATCCATATAGAATTGGAATCTATGAAACAGGAAAAGTACTTCACATTTCATACTTAGTTAATTTGTTTTATTTGGAAAATCTAAAACTGAAATACATAGTAATGTAGTACACTAATATCATATGAGAATTACCTTTAGGTACTCAAATGATCTTAAATTTAAAAAAAAATATGATATATATATTATTTATATAATATTAACACATTATAAGGAATTGAACTTTAAAATACAATAGAAAGAAATATTTCAAAACCATTTAAAGTACAAATAATCATTGGAGATCATTGATACTTAACAATGTAGAAGATTTGTGCTTCCAAATATTTTTAAGAAGAGTCACTGTCCTGAAATATATTTATCAAATATTATTTTATAATGTAAAATAAAAATTATTAAGCATATTACTTAAACCTAATTTTACATTCTAATTTCTTTTGTTTATATTTACCTGGTAAACTAAAAAATAATATTATAAAATCATAGATAGGTAAGGCAATAAAAAATTGTATGAATTAATTTTAAAATTTGGGATTTTTAGTATTTAGACACAATTTTAATTTGATTGTACCATATTCTGCTTATATTACAAATCACAAATCTCTAAATTAATGGTTTTTTATAAATACTAAAGTAACATATACCAAGTAAAATGTTACGCATTGATTTAATAAAACCATATGCAGGTGGTAGCAGTAGCAAAATGTGATATTTACACTTAAATTTGGTACAATAGTTACTATTTATGCACCCACTAATATGGTACTATACATCTATAGTCTATACTCTACATATATAAGAATAACTAGTATGTAAATTATGTGTCTTATTTATAGTTCATATTTAACTGAATTAATGACTTAGAAACTGTATTCTTATTCTTTAAAACTTTTAAAGTATTAAATCAGTGGCGGATCGTGTCCATGAGCGACAGTGGGGCCCTTACAATAATATGAAAAAAGAATAGTTTAAATAATGATTTACTAATATAAATGTCTGTTGTATAATTTCAACAATTTAAAATAATTATAACAATGTCAAGAAAAATTTATTGTTATCTGAGAAAATGTGCATAATAGCTTTTTGTTCAGTAATCGGGTAATCCAATTTGTTACAGAACTTGGAACAGCATCTGAGTGGGTCCTATAATTTATATCTGTATTAGAATATAGTGCCCGATATACATGGAAAACCATGTTGTTTTTTTTATTCATAAAACTTAGTCAGACAGGAAATGGTGGCAAGGCTATGATAGCCGGATTGTGTCACAATTTATATCTTACATTCCATGTGTTAAAGCAACCAACAATGCATCAGCTGTAATTTAATGCTATTACAAACTTAACTATAAATAAATAACATAAATACTAAACCATATTTACATAAATCAAAAATTATACTCATATATTTACTCTTTTTGTTGTGACAATGGAGGTATACGTACATTTTATTGTACTACCATATCTAACACGCCACCACTGAATTAAATAGATAAATTATAAAATTGTATTAAAGATTTAAATTATTTGTAAATTTCAAGGAATCAAATCAAAAATTACCTTCAAACAATTACCAAGTAAATAATTTGCCATCAATTCAAGGCTTGGAACATAATGCGAGAAAAATAATAAATATGCAATATAATACTACTTAATTATTTTATTGTTATACAAAATAGGCATCTATATGGCAATAAACTTCAAAAAATACATAACTATGTAAATATTTTCATAATATGCAATTTTTTATTTATTATTAAATTAAAATCAACAAAAATCAATACTAAATCTATAGATGATTTAAAATATATAGGGGTACTTGAAAGGCAATATATTGTCAATGTTTTATTTCATTAATAATAACATTTATTATTTTTTTTGTTGATTCTTTAACAAAATAATTATTAGAATGTATAAAATCATTAAATTGGTAAAATGGTAAAATTATGTAAGAAGAGAAGATATAACATTAATTTTTTAATTTAAGTTTTATGAAATAGATTAGTGTTATCAGTTTTAAATAACATTTGCATGAAGTTCCAAGCCCTGGACTTATTATTATACTTTGTTTTTAATAAGAATAAACCATTTAGTGTTTGACAAATTATTTAAGTAAAGAAATCAGATCTCCCTAGTTTGACGTATTTGCAACTTTGCAACTTGGCAACAATAGATAATCATAATCGGTAATCACAGATTTACAGTCATTTACAGTATAACAGATATTTATTTTAGGAGTAATCAAAACTAAAACTAGTCTTCATCCACCAGCTGGTTTATTCTTATTTAAAATGGAGTATACACTTATTGGTGAATAAATGTAAATACATTTGTATTCTTTTTTTCAAGCAAAATATTTATATAAAGACTAATGGCAGACTTAAAGAGATAATTGATGTACCGTTGGATCACATTCAGCACAGTGCCATGAGTACCCACGAACTTTTGGTGATTTTTTCACTGGGGGATCAAGACAGCAAAAATGAAAATTTTTACTGCATTCATCACACCTGTAGAAATAAAGTATATAAATATAAAATAAGAAAAGGTATTTAAAATTTGATTATTTATAATTATATCTTAATTTATAATTTTTCAGCACTAATCAAAATTGTTTTTTCTTTTTACAGAAAAATAAAGTTTCTGTTTTATACGTAATGCATCTCTTTTTAGAAACAACTAAAATTAAGTTAATAAACAATAAAGGTATTACTCAATTACAATAAAATTATCCTATATGCTAGAGTTGGATCAGACTCAAAAATATGGTTTTGAACCGAACTTTTTAATTGTTTGTTGAACCGAACCAATACACATTGATTTATAGTAATCAATAAACTGCCAAATAAATTATATGCTAGTCAGGACAGGTAGCCTAGAAAGTATGAATAATTCAGTAACATAAGAAATAATCGTACAATAATGGTTTTACTCCCTAACAGCCTATTCATAATATTGTGTAAAAAACTAAAAGCTAAATATAATAGGTAGCCTTTTTAAAAATGTGAACAATTATATTATATATAATTAAAATTGTACGTTTTACAACATCACAACTAATTGAAAATCATAAAATAAAATAATTTACTATTCCTGTACATCATATTTCAGATATAAATTAATAGCTACAATATTTATGACCTTATGATACTTACTGAACCATTGTAATACTTGTTCCAGTTGTTTGACATGTGTTACATTTAGGAGTCAATTTAATGTCTGTTGATGTTGTGGTTATTCTGAGAGGTGCAACACTCTTTTCTGGTTTGGATTTTGTAGATGTCTGAGGTGTTTCATCTACTGGTGATGCAATAAGTAATTGTGAAGATGTTGTCTTAACTCCACTAGCACTTGGTACAGATTTAATCTAAATAGTAAATACAACACATTTTAAAATGATTCTGAAATTCTGTAAGTTATCAAAACGTACAAATAACTTAATTCCTTGACGGGGTGCTTCATTAACTAAATAATCATTAGCTGGTTCCAATTCTGAAATATTATTATCCCTGTGATGCTTGTGTTTGCGTTTGCGAGACTTGACTCGTTTTGTTATTATTTCTGGAGAATACCTTTCCCTGTGCCGTTCATGTTTTTTTTTCTCTAAAAATGTTTAAGGGCAAACAATGTCATGAATATAAATCATGGTTAGACAATTTAGTATGTTACAACATTTTTAATGGGTTGCAAAAAGGTAATATTAAAATATTTCAAACCAATTTATTAACATAATTGAATGAACCATCATAATTAAATCTTAACTTTTAAAATATTTTAAACACTTACTTGATACACCAGGCATTTTATTCTGTTCTGTAAGACTATTGATATCCTGTAGCTAATATATGATTAATTAATTTTTGGTTGAATAAAGAAAATATTGATTTCATTAAATAACTTTATACTTACATCATTAACAATAGATGAAGATCGATGACTGCCTGATATAGATCGCTCTCTTCCACCATACCTTAATTTTCTAGGAGCATTTGGATCAACTGTTTCTGGTTCAGAGTTAGAATTACTATTATCACACTCACTGCATTGCCTGATTACAACATATTTCTTAATACAACTTTTCTAGAATATTCAATATTTTTATTTACCATCCAAATAATTTCGTTTTCTTAGGCATTCGAGTCAGTGGTGGATTTAAACAACCCAAATGATAGTATAAATAGCATGTGTCACATTTTGCCAGCAAATGTTGATCATTTGTACGACCACAAATACCACATTTGTTGTACAAACCTAATGGTGCCACATTATCTGAAAAACAAAATATTTGAGTTTAATTACATACCATAAAATCAAATATGACATATTGGCTATATAACATTAAACACATGTTTTACCTGTAATTTCTAAACTATCATTATTTCTGATTGACATTCCAATACCTGACTTTAAGATAGCAGGAGTAGGAGTTGAACTGTTTATTACTAAATGCAAATAAAACAATTTGAATTAAAAAAAAAAAAATGGAATATAAATAAGATATCCTGAATTTGTTAGTAAATTATTGGTTAGGTTTCGAATAAAAAAAAATTGAACTTACTGAAAGAATTATGATCATTTGGAACTTCTCTAGTAAGTATATCTACATCTAAAATATTAGCAGCAATGTTAGGATTGCAAGAATTAATGACATCATGGTATGCTGTAATAAGATTTTTGAGTCCTAAATGTTTTTGTTTTAGAATTTCATTATTTTTGGACTCCTACAAAAAATGTAATCAAAGTATAAATGTATTACCTGATGTAATTATATTTTTAAATAATTGTATTACCTGATCATATTTTTTTTGTACAACTGTTAGTTCATCATGAAGTTTGTTGTTTTGCTCAGTATAATGTTGTAGCTGATTTTTCAAATCTGTCAATCTTAAAGTTCTATCATTGAAATAACTTACAAATTCCAAACTAAAAATGATTGATAAAAAATATTTA